AGGTAGAAAGTTGCGACATCAGGTTCATGTGGCCTCTTACTATCGCCACACGTTCGCCCTTCAGCAAAGTGCTGGCTTTGCCATGATCCGTGTAAGATGCCAGTGCTCCACGTCCACTGGTGCCTTACGAAATATCACAGCACTTAGAACATCATATGCTCAGTGAGGTCAGCTGGACAAAAAAGCTCTTGAGATGCAAATATTTCCGTTTTACGTTTGCTAGTACTTTCGGAAAATAACTTCTTGGGATTGCAGTTTTGCTTGTTGTTGGCAAGATGTGAGTTGATTTTTGTTCGTTGGCCTAATTCATTTTGATGCAATATCCTAATCCCCCACCATCGGTTGCGATAACTTTCTCCTGTGGGGGCTTGCGTCCGACCGCGCTGGACTCGGTCTTTTCCTGTGCACCCTGGTGGAGCGGCGATGGGCAGTGATCGGTCTGTCAGTGACATCACCGGTCATATGTGTCAATGACGTCAGCCGGCGCCGGGCCGTCCCTCGGGTGCCGTCCCGTTCCGCCGCGCCGCCTGCCGTTCGTGGAACCGGCCGTCGGGACCACGGTAATCCGACCGCGGCTGGAGTCGGGCTCCACCGTCTAAAGCTGTCCGGCGGCAAAGCAGCCGCGAGCGCTCCGTCGTCCGTGCCCTCCGCTGTCGAGAGCTGTCCAACGGCACAGCAGCGGCGAGCGCTCCGTCGTCTGTGCCCTCCGCTGTCGAGAGCTGTCCAGCGGCACAGCAGCGGCGAGCGTCCCGTCGTCTGTGTCCTCCGCTGCCGAGAGCTGTCCAGCGGCACAGCAGCAGCGAGCGTCCCGCCGTCTGTGTCCACGGCTGCCGAGAGCTGTCCGGCGGCACAGCAGCGGCGAGCGTCCCGCCGTCTGTATCGTCCGCTGCCGAGAGCTGTCCGGCGGCAGAGCAGCGGCGAGCGCTCCCTCGCCTGTGTCCGCACCGGGACAGGTGCGCCGAGGACGCGCGCACGCAGCGCCCAGGACCGACCCGGTCGCGCGGGACACCTGTACCGCCGGCCTTTCACCGGGTCAGCACGCTGTGACGCTCAGGTGGACGTTCGTGTCGCGCGTCAACTGGTGAAAACGGTGTTACATCACCGGTCAGCAGGCCTCGTCTCTAATGGTCCGCATTTGGAGACGGCTGGCGTCTGTTGAGTCCGGCGGAGGTCCTTTTGTGTCTTAAACATGCTGACTTTTACGCTGTCAACGCGCCTCACTAGTTAGGTGGAAGCCTGGTCATGGGCGCAAAATCACACCGCAGCGGGTCAGCCGCCAAACACCAGTAAATAACGAACAGGCATCTAAATTACCGCCGCCGTGACGGCGCACACTCGTAGAGGCGGGACGGTCACTGTCTCGCTGGCAAATGTCATTTCATGTCCGTTCCAATTACGGTGACGGTACGGCTTTTCGAGTCATGGCCTTGTAGCGTCTATAAGTTGAGGGATGGGATGTTGGCCACGACAGACAGACGGGCAGGCTGAAATGCCTCAGTGTTATTTGATGCAGTGTATAATTGTGCCGCTGGGGCTTGATTGATTCCTCGTCAATGTCACTACGTCAGAGCCCTGCCGGTGGCGCTGGCTCCTCCGGCCCTCACCACATCGCACCTGCGGCCTGGTTGGGCTCTCTTCGGGGTCGGCCGGTCGCGTCGCGTCGCGCCGTGGCTCGTTCTCGCGGCGAGCCGGCGCGGCGGACGGGCGCGCGCACCGGCCGGCCCGGTGTGGATCACCTTGGCGGCGGGTGGCCGGACCTGGCCGGTGACGGACTCACGGCTCCTCCGACCCGCTCCGGCACCCTGCCGGCGCCGCCTGCCGCGCGGGCGGCCGACCCGCTCTGGCACCCTGCCGGTGCCGCCTGCCGCGCCGGCAGGGTGGCCGAGCCGGTCTTCGGTTCCCCCGCTCAACGCGCACTCAGCGGACGCGCGGGCTCGCTTCGCTCTGTGTTCCTCCTTCCTGCCGTGGCTTGTGTGAGCCGCCTGCAGTGGGATGCGTTCCTCCGTGCGCGCGGCGGCGATCACGGCGCATGACCGACTGCCGTTGGACGCGTGTCCCCCCCCGCTGTGGTGACCCGGACGGTGACGCGACGCCCCGGGATGCTCTGCGCTCCGACCCCGATCAAGGTCGGCACTTCGGTCGGCATGCCAGCGGCGACGCCAGGAAGAATGCGGATGTGGCTTGGTGTCTGTTCCATGCGTCAAAATGTGACGCAAGAGCGGACTCCTAGTTCCGGGACCGCCGTTAATGAGAGTGGAACCCGAAAGTTGGGACAAAGAGGACAAAGATTGGGACAGATTACGGATGCGTGCCCGCTTTTACAGAAGCGTTATCAGTCATCGGCAACAGGGTTTCGTCTATGCCATAATTCGTGGTAACTATTGAGAACGAACCGAAATGATGTATTACGTGAGCATAAACCTTCCGTAGAAGTAGCTCCCGCGAACCAGCACAATGCCAAAGAGCACCAATCCACGCTTCAGCTTTTCCAACGCACTCGGCTAAACCCCATCTTCGTACGAAAGGACATCCCGCCGGCTGCTTGGTTTACAAATATGCGCATCCTAGACGTAGGGACACGGAGGCATACCATACGTTTTTTATTTAAGCTTGCCCATCAGCCATGAGCGACCCTTTAGAAACATCACATTGGTATGTAGAAACAATCGGTTGGTGGATTTGCTGGTGGCTGCTTACTGATGATGGCTTGCAATGTACATACATTTCTCGGTGTGCTTAGGGTGCGTCACGTGTGGCGGGCCGACCTTCTAGTTTATTAAGCTTATTAAGCAGAGTGCAATGCTTTCCAGCGAGACATTTCCAGATCAAGTTTTCCAAGGTTTTAAAAGCTATTTCATCCAGCTTGACCTTTTGAGAGCAAGTTTCCTTTTGCTGCTAACCTTGAAAAGTACCGAAACTTCTCACCCTGCGTGGTGCATTCGCCACCTGGCAGCACTCCCACGCCGCCATGAGGATGCAAACCCGAAGCGGGCACCGCTCCGGACCTGCCCTGGCTTCCGTCCAGAAGGGCCAGCCACCTGGCGGGTGACGGCGCGGTGCTGTGGCGTGCCGACGCCGGCGCCGGCGGCGGCTGACCCCGGACGCCGGCCGAGGCGCCGGACTGAGCGCCAGCCGGCGGACGGAGGGTGCCGCTCGCAAGAAGCGAGGCACACTTTCTATCCGCCGCCGGCCGGCCCGTCGCTCGGCCGCGCGACCGCCGACCCTCCCGCGGCGGAAAAACGGCGGCGTGACGGACGGCGAGCCTGAGCGGGGCGGGCGGCCGACGGCCCGCGCGCGGCCGCACCGCCGCGGACGGCGCGGCGCCGGCGGCCTGTGCTCGCTTGCGCTCGGCACTGCGCCCACGCCGGGCTCTGGCGCGCCGCGCGACCGCCCGGCGTCAGACGACAGCGGCCGAGGCCCCTCGGATGGAGATCTGTCGCCCTGATCCCGGCGTGATAGACGGAAATGTCCGCACACTCGACATCGTTGTCGATAGAATCGCACGGCTCGACCGCCGGCCCGGCGGTGCCGCGTCAGCACTGACGGGCGTCGTGCCCGAGCTGCGGCGGCGACTTTAAGACGCTGGACTCTGGCGGCCGCCCGAGTGGCACCGGTGGAGCCCGGCCACGTCCGGGTCCAGCTTTCAGGCGATCCTGATCCAGGCAGTGGTACTGCTGATCAGACAATGTGTCGCGCGTGGGTGATCCCGCTTTCCGATTTTTCTTCGCGTGTCCGACGGTCGGAATTGACCGGGCTGTACCGGCGACACGTCACCCCGTGGCTACAGGTCACACGTTTTCGCCGACGAACAGTGGCGTGTCGACGGCGGCGCGGTGCGTCACGACACCGCTCCGTTTTCGCATCGTGCCGTTTTTCCCACGGCAAATTGAGCGGCAAACATACATGTCAATTGGAGAAAACCACGCGGCGGCGACGTTCCCATGCCGAGCGGATGCAGAGGACGCGGGTGTCGGTCGGCGAGGCGTGGTGCGGCCGCGGCCGCCGCGCCCCTGGAGCGGCGCGCGCCGCCGATCGGTCGGTCAGCGCGGCCTTCCGACGGACCGTGACCGTACCCGGCGGCGGCCAGTTCGCTGACGGAAGCCTTTCTCCGGCGGCGGCGGTGCCGGCGACCGCTCGGCACGGCACGGCACGTCTGAGCCGTGGCGTAACGGCAGGGGCGGCGCTCGTTAGCAGGGTGTCCGAGGCGCCGCCCCGCTCCGCCCCCGGCGCGCCGTAAACGGAGCGGCGGCGTGCGGAGGCCAGAGTAGGACCGATGGTCGACGTCGACTGCCAGAGCAGCGTGACCGCGTTGCATCTCTTTCAGTTGGCTCGCTCCGGTCGCTGGCGATGGCCGCTGATACGCACCGGGCGCGGACCGCCTGGCACGCAGTGGGATAAGTCGGTGCAATTGCCGGGATGGCGGAGGGTGCGGAGGACCGGCGGCCAGTGGCGCTTACACGCGGGCGCGTCCCGCCGCACGCGGGCCGGGTCGTGCGCCTCCGGTGCGGGCGTGCTGTGCGGGCCGGCGGCATTCCGGCACGCTCGCCGATACCACGCCGGTTCAGGAGAGCCGGGTGATCTTCAGGCCTACCGACGGCGGCCATCACCGCGAGGAAGCACCGGGCCGCTGGTTGATGGGTGTGGGTGGGGGCGCCGCACGAGATTTCAGTGCACGGGAGGAATGGGTGACATCCCGGAAATCCTGGTGCGGCGGGAAAGGCGGACCAGGCTTTCTTTATGTCACCGACAGGGACATGTGCAAAGCCTTATCTAAGCCTTACAGCCTTACAGCAGATAAGCCTTACAAAGTCTTATCTCCCACAGCCAAAGCCAGAGGATGCCGCGGGCGTCCAACACGGCCTCTGGGGCGGTAGCTGTCGCTTGACTGGTTGTGTTGCGTTCCTGACGGATTTTGCGTCCTTGCTTCAGTGCTGAGCAATGCTATGCAATGCTACTCCAAGTAATGTGCTGTGCTAAGCTCGTTACTCCTTGTTTTGCAGGCTCTGGAAGAAGTATAAGTACTGCCCGATCTGCTTCAAGTGCTACAAGAAGCCCGAGGATCTGGGAATGGTCACGTGCTCCACCTGCAACAAATGGGTTCACAAGGGTAAGTCCCATCTCTGTGAATGAAACTGCCCAGACAAAAGACTAATTTTGCCACGGCTGGCTTTGATGGCTGTGACTTGGGCTCTGCTTCGCTTATGTTATCACATCTCCAAAAATGGCCTGTCCGGGAGGTCGCACGTGGTGAGACACGTGACGTGGTGGCGGATGTGGGCCGGCCGCGGCAGTGGCGCAGGTCTGACATTTCGTCTGACGGGCTGGCGGGCCGCGGCCGGCTGGCGCGCTTTCCAACCGCCTCCGAGCGTGCGCGGAAGCCGGACGCGGCCGGCGGTGAAGCTGTGACCGCCACCCGCTCCCGATGGCGGGAATGGGGTCTGGTCGCGGCGGGCCGTGTGGGGGCGAGGTGGCACGCCTGCTGGAGGTCGAGATGGCCCCACGCCGGCGGGAGAGCGGCACACGGCTGCCTTACGGGGCGGGGCGGCCGACCCGAGGCCGTTGCGCGGCGCGCTGGGGAGTGGACGCTGAGGCGGAGATCGCGCCTCTCCTTATCGATCGCTCGCATCCGATATGCACTGTTCGGCGACCGCGGTCGTAAGTGTCGGGGAATCATTTAAAACGATTCAGAGCAAAGGAATTCGGAACCCCTTCTCGTGGAAGAGGCTCAACCGTGAACCCCCGGTGGAAGAGTGACATTGTCATTTCAGAGTGACGCGTCAGTTGTCCTGACATGAATCCTATCCTGCGTTGTCTCGTGCCTTGGGCCATCCCCGCGGCAGGCGCACCGCGCTGCCGACCAGCGCCCGACCCCGAGCCTGTGGTGCGACCCGGCCTCGTGACCCCGTACCTTTGATGCGACCCAGCCCCGTGACCCCGTACCTTTGATGTGACGGCGCACCGCGCGAGCAGCCGCATCATGGCACGCTGACGTCACCGCTAGTAGCGTATTCGATAGGCGGGCTTAGCTCCCGTCGTGCTCACTGGCGCCAGCTTGCAAGATGCGGGAAGGCGAGCGACTGGCTCTCCGAGCAGTGGCTGGTACATAGTCAAACTGGTAATCAGCGTGTCTGTAATCTGTCCGTCGTCGGGTTGTTCCGTGTTGCCATTTGCGATCTGGCTTCGCTGCATTGATAAGGCCGCCCTTCCGTCGTCGGTGATGGAGACTCGCCGCACATATCTCTCTGATCCACTAACAGGGATTACTATCCGGGGGTTCGCTATACGCTTGGCAGAGACAGAGGCGTTGCTAAATACCGCGGACCGCGGCCAGTTTTGGAAAGCACTGCCACGAATCACGCCTTGTACCAGCGCGCTCGTCGCCACGCGTCTGCCGCCGGTCCTGCGAGCCAGCTCTGCATATCGCGCTAGCCGAGCACCCGCCGCCGTGCCCTTATAAGCCGCGGTCGCGCCTGGCGTGGCGCCCGGATCTTGTGAAACGGGCCGCCGGTAGCCGGCCGGCCCAGCTCCCGCGTAACGCGGCCGATGGGGGGCGGACGTGGGCGCCGACGGCGGCGGACGGCGGCGGACGGCGCGGCCTCCGTGCGCTTCGAGTCCGTCGGCGTCCGGTGGTCGGGTCCGGTGCGGTCCGATGGCCGAGCCGGTGAGAGGTCGGGCTGGAGGGGCGCCACGGCGCTGACGGCGCCCTGCGGACCGGCGGACCGGCGATCGCAGTGGCTGCGCGGTGACTGCCTCTGCCGGCGGCTGGTGAGATGGCGGCTGGTCGTGGTCAGTCAGCTGTGCCGTAAGCTGCGGCTGTCGCCACGCTCAGCGGCGTCCGTGACGCAGCTTAGTGCGCCGGCCCGGCGGCCCAGCGGCCGCCGTCGGCCGCCCCGCCGCCGGCGACAGCAGAGGACGCCCCGGCCGACCGAAGGACGCCCCGGCCGGCCAGAGGACGCCCCGCCGCCGCCAGGTCACCGACTCCGGGCGCGGCCGCGGCTGGGGGCGCCGGCCGCGGCCACTGCCCTGCGCTGCACGGTCGCCCGCGGCCCGGTCGCTGCGCCGGGGCCCCGCCCGGCCCGACTGCAGAGCCCGGCAACGGCGAGAGGCGGGACGCCTCCGGGGACGCGCGATCGTTCATCCGGCCGCCTGATTAAGCAACGCGGCGATTTAGGACCTTAGCCGGTGCGGCTTTCATTTGGCCGACGGGTCCGGGTGGGCGCTGCTGGCTCGACGGCGGTTCGCGCTCGGGCGCCGGCACACTGCAGACCCTGCCCCGCGCGCCCCGGCTCGCCACACTAACAGGCCGATGGGTGGGATGGCGGGTCAGCTGGCCGGGCCACCTGTCGGGAGCAGTCGGTGGTGATCCGGCTCAAGCGGGTGACTCGAGAGGCGGAGGCCCGCTTTTAACCCCAGCCAACAGTGGCCGCCTCTGACGCCCGGACGCTAGATATGTGTCGAGACTGAGTCCTTCATCGGTTGCGCCACTCTGTGAAGGCTCATTGTGTAATACATGGATTCAGCTTGCAGCGGCGCCCGCCGACGCCGCGGGAGTGCTGGCAGCGCGCCGCACGTGCCTGGCTCTTCGGGGTGCGGATGGCGACGGGTGACGCGTCGCTGACTGCCGGCGGGCTCATTTCTCGTCACGGTCTGTGATTTGTCGACTGGGTCACCTGAGAATCGCTTCTGACAAGATAGATTGACATGAGGGCGAGCCCCGACAGGCGAGGTTTGCTTCAGGACCGGGGCTGGCTGAGGCTGGCGCTGGGATGACGTCATAGCTCGGCGGGAGGCGTCGGCCGACGGCGATGCCTTGGTCGGGACGGGGTTTCCACCGACTGATGGAAAGTGAGCCCTCGGAACATGACGGGAATGAGAGAACGTGAGGATAGGGCACGCGGAATCGACAAAAAGAAGTGACAGGGCAGGAGACGTGCGTCTCGGGAGAAAGGAGAGGATGCGCGCCGAGAGCTCTGGTGAGGGGGGCTACGGCGTGGCCCAACCAAAGCCCCACGAAATCCAAATTGGTTGGTGGTTTTATGAGTGGTGGTGATAGGGGAGTGGGCGGGGGGTGGGGGGGGGGGGGGGGGGAGGGCGAGATGCAAATAGCTGGCTTTTACACGTACATAGGCTGTTTTTTCAGGCGGGGGCAAATTTATGGAGATTTTAGTCAAATGCTTTGTGCCGGAACGGGTGTGATAGGAGTCTATTGGGTCACATATGGGTTAAGGGTTCCACCCCCCCCCTCCCCCCTACCCCGGAACCTTGCAGATGTACACCAAAGCGCTCCAACATTGTACCAGTGTATACCAGTCTTGTCAGTGTGCTTGTGGTCACGTCATCCACCCCCACAAGCACGATCAGTGAACCGCACGTCTCCCCGGAGAGTCATCCGATGATCCCGCGCCCTTGCCATGGACTGATCCGACAGCTTCGACGTGCCACGATCCGGCCGTTGTCCGCGCGATCCATCGATCCGTGGAGTCTGTCTGACTGATCCCGGCCCGGACTGTGGCCCACCCGACCTCGGCCTCGGCCCTCGGTCCGCTGGCTTATGGGCGCTGCATGACCTTTAGCAGTCGATGCGCCCTAAAACCCCAAATCATCATCATCATCATCACCATCGGGGTCGCGCCGCGGCGGTGACGGCTCCCGGTCGTGATCCGGTGACGCGCAGTTCTCGCGCCTCCTCGCGCCTCCTCGCGCCTCCTCGCGCGGTCCTCGCGCCTCCTCGCGCCTCCTCGCGCCTCCTCGCGCGGTCCTCGCGCCTCCTCGCGCCTCCTCGCGCCTCCTCGCGCCTCCTCGCGCCACCTCGCGCCTCCTCGCGCCTCCTCGCGCCTCCTCGCGCCACCTCGCGCGGTCCTCGCGCGGTCCTCGCGTGTCCTCGCGCGGTCCTCGCGCCTCCTCGCGCCTCCTCGCGCCTCCTCGCGCGGTCCTCGCGCCTCCTCGCGCCTCCTCGCGCCTCCTCGCGCCTCCTCTCGCCTCCTCGCGCCTCCTCGCGCCTCCTCGCGCCACCTCGCGCCTCCTCGCGCTCCTTCGCGCCTCCTCGCGCCTCCTCGCGCGGTCCTCGCGCTCCTTCGCGCCTCCTCGCGCGTCCTCGCGCGCCTCGCGCCTCCTCGCGTGTCCTCGCACGTCCTCGCGCGCCTCGCTTCCGTCCGGCCCTGCGGCGCGGCTTGCCGCACCCTCCACTTCCCGTCGCGAGAGGCAGCGCCGCGTGGGTGGAGCTGGAGGCCGGCCGGAGAAACTGCTGGCCAGTGTTGACTGCCGGCGCGGCCGCCGCCGTGTTTGACCGGATGCGACTCTCTCGTAAAGGACGCGGCGCAGCGCGACGCGACGTGCGTGGGCGGGCACAGGCGCGGACGCGGATGGGCCTGCAGGGATGCGGCCCGATGAAAGTGAGCGTGTGGCGCCGGCTGGTGCGAGATGAACCCGTCAGGTGGGTGCGCCACCTGTGGCGCGGACCTTGGACGAGCCGTCGGCTCTCGCGTAGCGCGGTTCGAAGCGGCGTTGCTATGCGCCCTTCAGCGTTACCCACTGAGGCGGCGGTTGGATGGGAATGTCTGCACAAGCCGCTGACGTGATTAGCGCAGGCTGATGTGTGCAGCCCTTTAAAAAATAAAATGCCGACGTGAGGCCTTGAACGGCGCTCCGTTCAGGCTACGGTCGGCTGGGTGAGGTGAGAGCTGTGCGGCGGCGTCCGGCCGGCGTCGGGCCGGGTGCGTGAGGGCAGCGCCGGCTGGTCGCCGGCCCGCGCAGAAGTCCAGCAGCGCTGCGACGAGACGAAGTGATGTTGCAGTAGCAGCTTGGTTTGTGCTGTCTGCTCCTCGCCGTCTGCTCGGGGATGATGTGAAACAAACGACAGCGCTGATTGGAGCAGGGGCTGATGTGGTGACGAGTGCCAGTTTAGTTCTTTGGAGGTGACGAATGCTGGTTTGGCTCCTTAAAGTTAAGTCTGAAATCGCAGCGCGGTGACGTGGCGGCGCGGAGGGTCTGTGCGTCCGCAAGAAATGAATGCATGTGTTTGCACTTCGCGATTGTGCCATGCAGTTCCAGCTGTGTCAACGTTTCGTTTGGACCGTGGCTGTTCAGGTGTGGACACTTCTGGTTGGT